AAATCACTGTTTTTAAAAAACAAATGAATATTTGTTCTTATTTTTTTTAATTTATATATTTACGGATAGATGATGCACAAGGTGTGCCGCTCCAGCCATCCTCACCTTGCTGACCTGAACCCAATCTCCTACCCTGAGCCCTGGAAACCTACTCACTAGAAAAAACATAACACAACCAAAAGTTTTGTTATTTTACAATAGTCTTCTGTGAGGTGGAGTTTGCTTCCCCAAAAGGGCACTCCAATTTGAGCAGAAAATCCGCTGTGCACGGTCTTCAAATATTTTTTAAGTTTATTTTATGAGGGCGAATTAACATCGGTATAGCTACCGAGCAGGGGTGGATTTAGGTTTGTTGAAAAAGATAGCACAAAAAAATTAAAAGGATAGTATTTATAAAAAAATATAGTACACTTTCATTATTTTTAATTTAACACATAACAGTCAATAAAATCAACACCCGTTAAGGCAATATTTACTCCTCTTCTAAGTCTATGTGTTCTTGAATATTACTATTACTTCTATCTTCATCCTTGGCATTTAATCTCATCAATATATCCTCTGTAGGAAAAAAATCAGTACAATTCCCACTTTCGCTACCGCTTTTGATGCCACTTTCCATAATTTAAACACTGAAAATGCATTGTTTTACATAAAGACTCGCAAGTGATTGTTAAAACATTGAGCAAACTTTGATTGAGTTTCGAATGGAATGGAAGGAACAAGATTAGTGGAAAGAGAGAAGTGTACTGCGGAGGATAATCAGGAATCCCCGGCCATCAACACAGAAAACATCGCATGATCAGAATTCGCGCGGTCGAAATATTCATAATATAAAACTAGTTTTTACGGGTTAATGCACGAAACTTTATTTATTTATTGACGCTGCGAAACGTCAAAAAATAAATAAAGTTTCGTGTTCCTTTTCAGGTTAAATAAATAAATAAAAAAAAAAAGTTTCGTGCATTAACCCGTAAAAACTAGTTTTATTTAATGAGTGATGTGCGTAAAAACCTAAGAAACAAATATATTCATAATATGACGTAAAACTAAGCATTCGGGAGCAAACTTTAAATTATAGTATTTAAGCGTACTATCCTGAGATGTGGATAGTATATAGTACAAAAGGCGAAATCATAGTATAAATACTATAATTATAGTACAAAATTCAACCCTGCCTGAGTGGCAACCAGGTGACGGCCGAGTAACTGACAATGCTCAGAATTAACTTATTCAAATTACCCACCTCGGCTCAACCATGGCCTGTTGCATGAATGCAGCGCTGCCGTGCCGCATCCCAACAGTCTTATTGATGACTTGACTCGGCTCGGTAATTGGTCTGCCGAGGCTCCTTTATGTAAATTACAGACACGGAACCGGCTCGGCTGAAGCTCGGCTTAGACTCGATACGGTCTAACGTGAGTCGCCCTTTATTGTGCACATCTGTGTTGTTACGGTGTAGACTTTAAGTTTTTATTCCAGGGCTTGTATTATGAATTTTTCTCGAAGAGCACAAGACCCGAACTATCTCTATAGTAATAGCAAATTTCATCTAAATCGGCAATAGTATATAGTAGGCACACTTATCTTCTGTCTGAATTCCTACTTAGCGGCTGAACCAAATTTATTGAAATTTTATATGTCCATCAAGACACCCTTGGATAGTTTAGATTTTAACTGCACCAAGTTACGCCCTAGTTTGATTTTAGTGTAAACTCCTCAACTCCTCCTGGGCAGATTTAATTAACACTATTTACACGCTCCGGCTTCGGTGCAGCGTACACTGGGAGAGGTGCGGCGAAGATACAAGCGCGTGACAAAGAATTATGCTTAAAGGTTTCTTTGTTATTATTAAAAATAATCACTTTATAAGATAGACTCGACCATCCAATTGTGGACCTAAATGCTATTTATAAATGTGTGTCAAAGCCTTTATTAAATTATGAACAACTTTTAACAGATTTTTTAAAATATTAATGTATAGGAATTAGGCTTAAACTTAAGTTTATTACCGCGTTATTCCAAAACGTGGGCTGAAGTTAGTCTTGGTTTAAACATAATGTAAACAGGCATCTTCTAGGCAGGCGTGTACCATCCTAGGCCTCATCATCGCTTTCCATCAGGTGAGATTGTGGTCAAAAGCAAGTCCTATTTTGCATAAAAAAAAAATTGTCTCTGTCTTTTTCTGTCATTCTTAGAAGCAAAGAAAAGTTACAGTATTAGTTTAAGCCCCGGTTTAACTTTAGTCTACATTTTGTAATAAGATGATAATTGTCAACTGCTCAGTATATTCACCGCGCCTATCCTGGTGTGCGATGCGCCTTATTGTGCACAGCGGTGTTGTTACAGTGTAGACTACAGTTATTGTTTTCCATGTGGTATTATACATACGCTGTGAATTTTGAGTTACATGATAAACTTAAAACACTTGGATATTATTAGAAATAAAGCGTACAGTTATAAACAGTAAACATTCTACCTACACCCATTTGGTCACTCATTTTTTTGTCGTACTATTCGCAAGTGGAATTCTTTGCCCACGCACGTGTTTACTCCTTCGTAATCTGGGGTCCTTTAAGAGAGGCGTGAAGAAGTATTTTTGCAGGCCGGCAAGGTGAGGATGGTTGGTGTGGTAGTTTATTACTGCTGTACCAGCTATCTTCGCGTTTGGACTATCACCACTTAATGTCAGGTGGGGTAGAGTCATTTGCCTACCTGGCTATAAAAAAAATATAGCGTTTATAACATATCGTATAAACGGCATACATTGGTACAAAACATAGAGCTTATATTATGGAAATCCGTTTAAATTACGAAGGTATTTAAGTAGATTTATTTGAGTGATTAATGACAAATATTACTTTGAAGCTTTAATTGAACAATTATTGAGTCAATGTTAATAAAAATAGTGTTTCATTTGACATTGTGGGTTTACCTATAATGCGAAGAGATGCGCTGCCTTGCAGCTTAAGAATAGCTAGAAAGAATTTCGACGCGGTCCGTGAGGCCGCGGTAGTAAATTGGTCAGTGCATTCGCCCGGATTGCGAAGGGTGCGGGTTCGAGTCCCGTCTGCTGCCTGTCCGCGTGGATTTTTTTTCTAGTTATATTTTCTTTAGATTTAAACATCAAGCAGTTACATGCTTTAAAAATAATAAAAATTATAACTATAATTGCTATTTCTTCTTCAAATGTTTAATACTTGTAAAAGTATTCATTTGACATTGTGGGTTTACCTATAATGCGAAGAGATGGCGCTGCCTTGCAGCTTAAGAATAGCTAGAAAGAATTTCGACGCGGTCCGTGAGGGCCGCGGTAGCATAATTTCAGTGCATTCGCCCGGATTGCGAAGGTGCGGGTTCGAGTCCCGTCTGCTGCCTGGTCCGCGTGGATTTTTTTCTAGTTATATTTTCTTTAGATTTAAACATCAAGCAGTTACATGCTTTAAAAATAATAAAATTATAACTATAATTGCTATTTCTTCTTTCAAATGTTTAATACTTGTAAAAGTATTCATTTGACATTGTGGGTTTACCTATAATGCGAAGAGATGGCGCTGCCTTGCAGCTTAAGAATAGCTAGAAAGAATTTCGACGCGGTCCGTGAGGGCCGCGGTAGCATAATTGGTCAGTGCATTCGCCCGATTGCGAAGGGTGCGGGTTCGAGTCCCGTCTGCTGCCTGGTCCGCGTGGATTTTTTTCTAGTTATATTTTCTTTAGATTTAAACATCAAGCAGTTACATGCTTTAAAAATAATAAAAATATAAAAATAGTGTTTTTTTACGAAGGATACAACATATCTGAAAATATTATTTTCTGAATATTGGTACTAGTAAATTCACGGTGAAATAGTACTTAAAAATCACGGTGAATAAATCTTTCCTGAAAAAATATGCAAATGCAAATATTTATACTCTTATAATTTTTGTCTGTGCAGAGTCTGCTTAGAGAAAGAGAAGATGAGCACCCACGTTCTTTTGAAAGGCTGAGGCGTTTTAAGAAAATCGACTTCGAACGTTTTGACGTTTGAGCGCCCATGAAGTTTGATATTCGAAATTAGTTCTAAACTTAAAATAAATAAGGATTGTTCTTCATTGTCCTCAGAGACGTGCAGTTTGTCATAAAATTTATCGAATCGGTAATTTGGGGGCGTAGAATTAAAATTTTACAAAATTGTATTAAATTTAGGTCTCACTAAAGAATATTACCGAAAACTTTTTATTTCACGTTTAAAACAATTAAATGTATAAATTAAACATACAAACACTGCTATTTGTCAGAATCTTTTTAAAGGATTCAGTAAAATAAATTTGATTGTATTATTATAATTATCATAGAAACATTTGTAGTTATACTTTGATATAGTGGTGTCTTTATTCACTACATAACTCGGACTCGGCATTTGTGTTTTTTGGAATCATAAATGTAAAAAATATTGAGTCAATACGATCACTGCATACAGGATCCCTAAGCGTAAGTTAAGATTTACATATTCGTTTTATTCAATCTTTTTAATCAGCTCATACTTGCAATATTTAAGTTTAAGTTGAAATTCAAAAAAATATATTACCTAGCTGAGACTTGCACTCGATTATGTTAGATTTGTTGTCGATAACTAATTGACTTTTCCCCGTCACTATTGCAATGCGTCAAAACGGCCATCAAACCGTGCTGCGACTATAGAAGCCTACAAGCTCTATTCGCTATTTTAAAATCTCTTATCTATTAGACAAGTCCGTCCGTCTGTGGTGCTGTTTCAGCGGCCAAACCGTAAGAGATATATAAAGAAAATATTTAAGTTATAAGTTAAGAATAGTCTGATAAGACTACAAACCGGATTTGAGTAACGTAGCACTTCCGGTTTTCGAGAAATCACGAATTTCAAACGAAACCACACAAAATCTCCGAAGTTCTCAATTAACTAAAAATACATTTTTTTTAAATCAGGTTTTGGTGAACATTTGGTTCACTGGTTTGCTAGTATATTTTTAATTTAACACTGGCAGCCTATGGGTGAGTTATAAGCAGAAGACGTACAGCGCAATACGTGTGCAGTATAATAATGCTTTCAGAATGCTCTTGGGGCTGCCGTGGCGCTGCAGCGCGTCAGGTATGTTTGCCGAAACGGGAACAAATGACTTCTACGCAATAATGCTTAAAAAAGTTACTTCTCTCATGAACAGAGTTTACGACAGCCACAATAGCATCTTGAAGGTTGTAGGGGGTAGGTCCGAATGTCCTATAAGTAATCACTGGACAACTGTACTTATAAAATTTAATATAATTAAATTATATTCTTTTAGTAATTTTATTAATTGGATTTTGTAATTTTTTGTTGACATTTCTAATTTTGTATTTATTTTAATTATTTGCTATTATTATTCTTGTTTTTATGTAATTTATATGGCTAAATGGCTGAAATAAATGAATTGAATTATAAATAATATTATTTTTTTTTAGTATCAAATTGCTTATTTCTGCTTTCTTCATATTATTTTCTATAATGATATTATACAGACAAGAAGATTTTCTATTAACATTTTTAAAGTGAAACTTTAATTACCTCCCTCCAATTTTTCGTTCATCTTTAGCATGTCTCATTACATTTTTAGTTGTTGTTAAAAAATCAGATCTGTGGTGAAGTGGTAAGTAAGCGCTGTAACGTAGAAAGCTCGCCTGCTACGCCGGTGGCCCGGGTTCGATTCCAGCCGAGTAAGGTTTTTTTTTATTAACGAATTTTAAAGTTTCACTTGCATCGTAGTTTCAAAAGAACACAATTTTTTTCTTTCCAATTGGGCTGTTTTACTCATTTCTGAAACTTCACAAAATGTTCATTTCATAATACAAGATGTTTTACAAGACATTTGGTTTTTAAAAGACTTCAAATTTAAACATAAACTATAAATTTGGGTTATCTAAAATGCGAAAAAATGACGCTGCCTTGCAGCTTAAGAAAGGCTAGAAAAAAATCGAGACGGCCATCAGCGCCGCGGTAGCATAATGGTCAGTGCATTCGCCTGGATAGCGAAGGGTGTGGGCTCAAATCCCGTCTGCTACCTGGTCCACGTGGAATTGTTTCTAGTAACATGTTCTTTAGATTAAAACATCGAGCAGTTACATGCTTAAAAATAAAAATTATGACTATAAACAACAAAAAGTTTTATTCTGACGACGAAGCCTGTAAAGGCTACGAAACGTCAATAAATAAATAAAGTATCGTGCATTAACCCGTAAAAACTAGTTTTATATAATCAATAAATTATAAAAGGCAGCTAGTGTTTCTATTTAAGACCCACTAGATATAGTATTCTATTCCAGACAAAATTGGCACACAATGTCGAGTCGCAGATAATAGCTCGCCAGGCGTTAAACTGGATTAAAACTTAGTTAATTTGAACGTGGACTAAAACTGTTATATTTGGTTTGAACCAAACGCTGCCTGTGCTTGACAGTATCATTTTAAGTACGGTTTTGACTTCAGTTAACGTTTTGTGAAAATGGTTTAAGTATTATGAGCACAGGCATAGATCTAAATAGAGAAAGCTACTGTATGTACTTCGCGTGCCAAAAGGAAGAAAGATGGTCTCCATTTTAAGTTATTTAGACCGGAATAACAAGTTTGGAGGCTTCTAGTAAATAAGTCTTTGTCATACATATCTGCTAATAAAATAAATTTTTTTCGCGTCACCGTTCGGGATACCGGAGGTCAATAAAAGGCTTAAAAATGTCTGACTATGTATAATATCTGAGGAGCTCGATGGCGCAACTGGTTAGCGCGTTCGGCTGCGATCGTTGAAGTTAAGCAACTTTCCCAGTGAGTCGCTTATTGGATGGGTGACCAAAAATTTACTATCTCTAGCTCCTCCGTGCTTCGGAAGGCACGTGAAGCCGTTGCTCCCGGTTGCATCTGCAGTTGTTAGCACCCACCAATCCGCACTGGGCCCGCGTGGTGGGTTTATGGCCCAATCTCCCTATTCCATCCATAGGGAAGGCCTATGCCCCAGCAGTGGGGACATTAATAGGCTGATGATTATGATGATGTCATATATAGATATGAAAACGATATAATTGAAATAGGTGAACGTGTTCCAAGCTTTTTCACTAGTTATTTGTTCTCTCAAGTACCTACTCAAAATCTGACAGGGTCAATTTCTGTTCAATTTTAAATATATGCAGCGTCTACTTTAATATAGATTATGGGATAGCTGTTAAGTTTTCTTTCATTGCATAAGCTCAGATTAATTTGGTTCGAAATATTGTAAGTTGTCCGAAACTTATTCTCGCCGTCGAATTGCTCTTATTATCTAATGCCAAATAGTATTGTTGTCCTAATTTAAACATTAAATAAATAAAATAAAATTATCAGCAAAAGTGGTGCTTTTGTGAGTGAAATTAAAAAGTTTCACTTGTGTAGGATGACAGCATGACAGCAAAGGAAAAAATAATGTTTTTTTTTGAGTGTGTATGCTGTTGGTCGCAGATGACCTTTACAGCGTCACTTTACAGGGTTTGGGGACGGCGAGATCCTAAAGGGACCTTAAGCCGAGAATTGGCGAGTTTCTCTAGAGGTAACCCAGTCGGATGGCATCTCCCCACGTGGGGAGATGCCATCCGCCTGGGTGGGGCCGCGGCGCCATTAAGGAGGACTGGCGGTTGAGGCGACTGACGTTGGAGCGGAAAGGACCTCGAGTGGCGGCCGCGTACAGAGAAACGCAGCATTTGTAGGCCCCCCCTATAAGGTGTAAAGGCGCTCGATGCAGGCAGCGCAATACCGTTCTATTTGGGCCTCTGGGAAGGCCTACGCCCAGCAGTGGGCATCTCTCGACTGATGTGATGATGATGCACTATTCAAAATAGTTTTCATTATTGTACTACGTTACGATATCGCCTGTACGAAATCTGCTACATTATTGTGTATGTGAGGAGAAAACGCTGTTACAAAATTTGTTTGCATAAGCAGTGCTCTTATGTAAACTGCCAAGCGAATTGTCGACGAAAAACGTGATGTGAATATCCCACAACACAGAATTACAAACGTTTACGAGTCAACTTTTTTCATACAAGACGCAGAAAATTATTCTTGTAGGCGTTGGTCCCGGCTGCATCTGCAGTCGTTGGCAATCACCCATCCGCACTGGGCCCGCGTGATGTGTCACGATCCAATCTCCGCAATCCAATATCCCGTCAATAGGGTAGACCTGTGCTCCAGCAGTGGCGACATTAAATAAGCTAATAATGAAAGGCCAGTCACGTATATAGCTGATGTGACAGATAAGTGTGTCGTTTCAGCATCACATTGTCATCTTTACCTTGCCATATTCACCTGGCCATATTCACCTTCCCTTTTTCACCTTGCCATCTTCACCTTTCCATCTTCACCTTATCATATTCACCTGACCAATTTCACCTGGCCATATTCACTTTACCATCTTCACCTGGCTATATTCACCTTGCCATCTTCATCTTGTCGGTCTGAACTTAATTCAATACCTGTAACATTATTCACCAACAGCAACACGGAGAGCAAATTCCCCGCTCGAATAGAAACGCCAGTCATAAAAATTAATCTTCACCTTACAGAAGACAGCAAGTTAAAGGAGACGCTTCAAAAATGGTAGTCGGTGTCGAGCAGCGATGGAACATATCGTCATTTGTAATATGAATTACCGTAGCTGCCAAAAGCCAATTTTTTAAAAAACCAAAACTTAAAAAAAAATATAACTTTACATATATTTATACTTTTGAAATTATGTTTATAGAAATTATCTTATATTTATGTGATCTTTTAGATAAACAAGATTTTAAAATATAATAAATTCTTCAGTTTGAATTAATTTGTGGCAGAGTGGTAAGTTGTGAATAAACGAGTTTATAAGTAAGAAAAAACACAGTTAAATAGTGAATAAAAAGTTAAATTTTGCCTAAGTATAATTTGCTCTTAAATCAGTTTTATCAAATTAAAAAAAAGAACCCAAATCTTTGAGGACGAACTTCTTAGTAATCCATGGATTCACCGTGTGCTTGCTAGGTCCATCGAGAAGGAGAGAGAAAAACTTTGAGCAGTACCCTTAGCACGAACCAATATCGAATTCGTAATGTTTGCGAGTCCGAAATGTCATTGTCAAATGTGTACTGATTTTTAGTTCTCGTTACGTACTTTGTGGCGTTGCTGTTCAAGTTTTAATACAAAATTTGGACATTGACACTAAGCACTCGCAAACTATTCGGGACAGTTCCCGGGACTTGCGATCTAGGTTTAAGCAAGCCCCCCTTGAGATGACGCGGAAGAATCCCTAAACGGGGATCCCGCGGCTTCGCGCTAAGCAGCTTAGAGGGTGTTCGCAGGGTATTTTAGCGTATATTATGCTGTAAAGCTCCCGTAAGAGTAACGGGGTCCTCAGTGGGCAGCCACTGCTGGGGCTCGTAAGGCTTGCGGGAGCCAGGTGTGAGGTCCGTTCGGCGGTGTGCCTCTTAAAGGCGCCGTCGTCTGTAAATAGTATTTTTTGCCTGCGTATAAAAAAGGCCTCCCTTGAGATGTGCATCAACGCTCACCTTCGCTGCTCGAGTTGGCCGCCCTTCCTAGCCAAATTTGATAGGAGCCTGTTAGTGCAAACTTCGTTACTCGTTCCAAAATACTGCAGGTAAGTAAGTTCAATTTTGCAACGACTTATTCTGGCCTGCACCAGCTGATCTACGAGCAGAACTACTACGTATTTGGTTTTGCTTCTAGCTTTATTTGGTGATATCGAGCGTGTTCCACTACCCTAACATAGGCGACATTATTGGGTATGTGCTTTGGCCCAACGTTGTTTTGTGACCCTGGTGTTGTCCTTCCAATATCACGCATCTTGAAGCGGTTTCTTAATTCAAAAAAAACTGTATTTATTATTGCCATTAGTTCTAGGCATATAGACTTTGCATGCAGGTATAAGAAGAATCATAGATGAATGGCATTGTGTATAATACAAGCCTGGGAACAAAAACTGTAGTCTACACTTCAGCCCTACACCGAAGCGAAGCGAGGGCGGGCCGCTAGTATAATATATTTTTTGCTTTGGCAACAAAAAATAGATAAATAATCTTTCCATTTGCCAATCAATAATTACATAATTTTATGTTAAAATAATTGTTCAAAAAAAAAACGGGGATAAAATAAATTCTAGTTTTTTGTCAAACCATTAATAATAATGTGCACTACATGTCTTAAAAATTTGGAGACTGCCGAAGACTGACTACCTACTACAAATTTGAACCTTCAAGAAGAACTAAAAAATATGAAATCCTTTAAGTTCTATATTTTTTTCTATCTCATTATAAATACCTGTGCCGTAAATATATATTTCAATAATATCGGCTTTGATAACCTTTAATGTGAGTATTTATAATCTTCGTGATAAATTGAAGCTTATCTCTAACATTAGTCCCAATTAATTTAGTTCATTGGAAATCAGTAAGCGGTGTGGATTACACAAGGGGCCGCAGGTATGTCATTTTTGTACCTTTATATAAATAAAACATATACTTCTCGATAGCACAGCAGTTAGCGCTTTTAGTCTGCGCTTGCGAAAGTTAAGCGACTTTCATAATCACTACCTCTAGTTTGAATAATAGGGTATTTGACAAGTTTAAGAAAACTATCTCACGAAGAAAATATTACTAGAAAAAAATCCACGCGGACCAGGCAGCAGACGGGACTCGAGCAGTCACATGATTAAAATAAAAATTAAAACTATCTCACGTTAATTATTAATGTTTATGAAGTCCATAGAAAGGAGGTATTCATTATTTTGTTGCGTCACTTTGACCGGATGTTTACTAGCTTGTGACGTCATTTTAGTTTTCGCCAATCTCAGGCGTTTTCGGTCACGTGACGATAGAACAAAAATTCATTTCTATTTAATTTTTTTTTTTTAATATTTATTATTAATTAATTTTTCTACCCCGAAAAGTAAAATCGCTGTATGTAATATGAATATTAAATACAGATGCCAACAATTGGTACTTTATTTTTCATACAGTCAAATAGCGTAATCTTCTTAAGATAAATCACTTATTAATTAACGTGATCATACAGTTTTTATGTGTGCAATTGTTAAAATTCATCAGCAATTAAAATACTTAATTCGTTTGTAGGAAAAAATAAATATTATTAATTGATAGAAATTTAATGAGTTATTCATTAAAATACACGTATTTTTGCATGTTCGTAATTTTGGTCCAAACAGAGATTTTCGCTTTACTTAGCTTGATAGGTAACACATATTCGCTACACTTTAATATAATTAAAAAAACTTTTAAGTAATCAACAAACCAAATAAACTGATAAACTGAGGTAAATCTTATCAAGTTTATATTGTTTTTATCAACATGTAATAATCTAAATAATTTATACATCAATAAATATTTGTGAATGTAATATTTGAATAAAAATTGATAATCCTTAATTGAACGAATACTTTACGGAATATTCACACCGCTTACTTTGGGCTGACAGGCTTGCGTGCGTGCGCATAACCGACATTACGCCTTTATATCTCGTTTACATGCAGCGCGAGTAAGGAGGGAAGTGAGCAGGGAAGTGGGCATGACGAGTATGTAAACACGATACTCGTCATGCCACTGCCATTGCCACTCACGCTGCCCGGCGCTCCCCAAAAGAGCGGTTTTTTGTGCGGAAGTCAAAGGACCGTGGCAATGCGTGTTCACACTCTGCGCGTCGCTTAGTTATTTGATTTGATTTATTTACTTACAAAGTGCTATTACGATGGATAGATAACATCCACCATCTTCTACGACGAACTTTCTTTTTTTGTATTGATATATTTTTAAATATCGAACATAATTATGGATTGCAAAAAGACACAGCGCGGCCGCTGTAATTACTTCGACGTCTGCCATTGCCGAAACTCTGAAGCGAAGTGAGAGGTAGGGCAGTATGTAAACACATACTTATTATTATTATTGCCGGCAACGCGAGGGGCAGAGGCATGGGCATAGTCTAAACGAGGTATTATACGCTGTTACAGGTCGCGGCACGAAACTCTAGCGCTGAACAAAACGCGGAGGGGATAGTTGCGCATGGGTACGACTGGAGAGCCAATCGGCGCAACGCACGCCCACCCGCGCACCTCGTTTCCCCCCAAGACATCTTAATTTTAACTTCTGCGCAATAACGGTTAGCGCTAGAGTTTCGTGCCGCGACTTATATAATGTTAAACTACGCCAGCACTGTTGCTACTGTTGGATCTAGCTAGCATCGCAACTTCAATTTCATATTGTCGCTAATTGAGCCTGTAAATGTGAACGTTACAATGTAAATGTCACTGATTAATTTTGATAGAAAAACCTGATGTTTACAGGATTTTATTCATACTGACAACCCCGTGAAATAATCCGGAAGACTTAGTCTATTTTTAATGAAAGATAAAATTATATACTTTTGTTTAATTTAAATTTTAGCAGTTTTTTTTTTGATAAAATGGATATTTTTCGAGTTATTCGTTAGTAACATTAAAAAATAAAAAAATGTTAGTAATGACGTCACGAGCCCCTACTTCAATATAAAAAAATAGTGTTCATTATTTTTTGATAATTAAACTGACGGACTAAATAGAATTTCGATAACGTGACGCCCTCATAAACCCCATTAAAAATGTGAAAGTTTCAATGTTTGCTGCTAATAAATGACAGAAAAACGGCTGAAAGGATTTGGCTGATGTTTGGCACACATATAATGAAAAAATAAATAAAATAAATAGTTTCAACACTCACAGAATTAGTCTAACCCCAAAGAGAGCACTATAGGCTTGTGTTATGGGATACTAGGGTAAGGGATAGGATACATATACTATATAAGTATATTTATATGGAAATACATACTAAACATTCATGACTGGAGTATAAATGTTCCTATTCATCACACAGATATCTGCCCCCATCGGGATTCGAACCCCAGTAGGCGACACCTAGATACCAGCGTACAAACCACTCGGTCACGGAGGTCGCCAAAATATGAAGATTATCCCATGAATCAATATAGAATAAATTTTATTTCAGAAAAATATGTTTACGTTTTTATTTATTTTAAGCATTTAACTGCTAGATGTTTAAATTTTAAGAAAAGTTTTACTAGAAAAAAATCCACGCGGACCAGGCAGCGGACGGGACTCGAACCCGCACCCTTCGCAATCCGGGCGAATGCACTGACCAATTATGCATTCGCCCGGATTGCGAAGGGTGCGGGTTCGAGTCCCGTCCGCTGCCTGGTCCGCGTGGATTTTTTTCTAGTAAAACTTTTCTTAAGATTTAAAAATATGTTTCTTAAGGTATTCTCAAAAAAAAGTTTGCGCAGATGAAGTCGTGGGTCACAGCTAGTAATAAATAGAAATAGGTTCACCTACTTGAAAACATCGACAGCTATGTTTCACTGTAAGTTTCCGAGAACATATGGGCCTTTGATCCAAGAGGTATTGCGGGTCGCTTGTAATAATATGCTAGGTCCGTAGCCATTACTCGGAGATTTGAAATATTTGTAACACGCAAGTTATATCATTCTCGTAACGCATCACCTTTTCGCAGGAAGGATTCCTATTTGTAATTCTTAAAAGAAAAATAGTGAAACACATGTAGCTTATGGAAATTGAAGCTTATGTAAATTGTATCCTACTCATCCTACTAACATTATCGTGAAAGTTCGTATGTTTGTTTGAAATTTTTCGGAATTACACTTTTTTAATCTATCTATATATATAAAACTCAAAGGTGACTGACTGACATAGTGATCTATCAACGCACAGCCCAAACCACTGGACGGATCGGGCTGAAATTTGGCATGCAGGTAGATGTTACGACGTAGGCATCCGCTAAGAAAGGATTTTGATCAATTCTACCCCCAAGGGGATAAAATAGGGAATGAAAGTTTGTATGAAACTTTGTCAATTTTAAACCGATCTGAGACTTTGCATGCAGGTATAAGAAGAATCATAGATGAATGACATTGGGTATAATACAAGCCTGAGAACAAAAACTGTAGTCTACACTTCAGCTCTACATCGAAGCGAAGCGAGGGCGGGCCGCTAGTGATTCATATAGTGGAAAGTGTGCTCTGTGTTTTAGTCTCTTTCTCGGTGCGATATGTGTTATATTTGCTTTAATAACTTTATAATGAAGAAAAAGTTGACCCAAAACTAGTAATTATAAAAAAATATGCGAGCGAAAACTGATAACTGATGAAATGATAACATTACTGCAGTTAAGTGTTACTTCTATATGAAATAAGTTCAATAAGTGTCTTTGTTTAAATTAAAACAAGTTTCAACGGTGTAGATGCACTGATTTATTTATTTATGACGTTTCGCACCGTTTTCAGGCTGCGTCGTCAGAATTATCTGAATTATTAGAATTGTCTGACGACGCAGCCTGAAAAAGGAAAACTGAATAACTGGTGAATTGATTACATTACTGCATTATAGCTATTAACGGGATTGTTACCATGTACCTTGTTTTTTATGAGTCTCCGATATTTCGGCACTGTTGCAAGCGCCATGATCACGGAGTAACTGAAGTAATTGCGGGTAGATGTTATTGGCAGACATATCGGTCTACCCTCTGACGTCGTCTTTTACTGCGCTCGATACCCCTACCATTGGTCACATTCTCACTATTCACTCGCACCTGTTCCCGACACACAATACTCACAGTATCCGATCGCGGAACGACACTCTTTTGATTTTTACGGATTTTGCACATACGAACCACTGGATTCCAGACACTTGACAATTTAACCCATCCTCACGATTGAAATTTTTGTGTTTGGTTATTTCAATCGCTTCCCTGACCAATCTTGGTATGTAGTGGTGTTCTGTCGAGATGATTTGTGGATTATGGAGCTCAATCCAGTGATTCGGACCCGAATCAATTAAATGTTCCGCGATAGCTGATTTCTGCGTATCATTGTTGAAATATCGGAGACTCATAAAAAACAAGGTACATGGTAACAATCCCGTTAATAGCTATAATGTTAGTGACCATGAAAGTTTAAAACAATATACATTACTGCAGTTTAGTGTTTAAATGAAATAAGTTCACTAAGTGACGTCGACGTATTAGGCTGCGTCGTCAGATAATTGGGATAAACGCAGCCTGAAAAGGATGCTAAACGTCATAAATAAATAAATCAGTGCATCTTTACCGTTGAATCTTGTTTTATTTAATAAGTGGTGTGCGTGAAAACCTAAGAAACAAATATGACTTTGTTTACTTTTTCCACAACTAGTATTTATTTTTTTATTTTTATTTATTTTCATTAAAAATACAGATATACAAAAAACAACTTATTTCGCCAAACTGAAATGTCAGTTTGTTGGCGAATAATACGCTCTTTACATTTTTTTGTTTTTTCTTTCTATATGCATATATATATATATATATATATATATATATATATATATATATATATATATATATATATATATATATATATATATACCCACCACCAATATACAAAAACTTTACAAAATTTTACAAAATTTGGCACACAGATAAACCATTATCTGGTCAAAAGTAAGCATCCTATGCGCTGGTTAGTAGTTAACATTACTATAATATTTTTGTCGTGGAAGAGTTGTATGAGTTCACTTGTTCAATTCTACCAATGTAAATATGAATGCATTGTAAGAAATTTACCATAAAAATTTAATGAGAAATAATTATTAGTAAGATTAACTTTCCGATGGAGCTGTCATATCATGAAAGAGAAGCAGATGAAAAAAGGAATATTACCTTTTAGGATAAAACAAGGTATACCTAGACACTTTCAACAACTAGCCACTGCAAAACCACAGTTCCAATTTTAATACCTACCATGTCGTGTAAAAATAAAGTTAGAGTCTGTGCGGAAAGAGAATGAGATTTAGATCGGAGGGCGCTGTAGAGTTTTTCTACCGTATTTTATTTGTAAGGTTTACAGCCCCCCCCCCCCCCCCCCCCTTAGACATGATTAAATACAAGAAACCGCAAGAAATCACAAGAACAAACAAATCCGTATCAATACAAAACTTTGACGTTTTACAGATTGCTGGGTTTGATTGCCAAATAAAAATCTTAATGTTAGTTCCGCTTTTCGCCACGCCCATTCTCTTTCCGCACAGACTCTATTCGATTTTGATTATGGCATATGTTGCAGATTGATCTCTCGAATCAGCTCGCTATCGAACTTATCTGGTCTCGCTATGGAACTAGTCTGAAATATCAATGGTCTAAAAATATTGTCTAACTTACCCAACTACTGATCTGACTCGTACTCGCTTTGCTTTGGTTTATAGCAGTTATGAATTCTGCGTTAGATCCCTACAGAAGTTTTTGAGAACATACTAACAGACAGACGCGGCGACTGTCTTAGTTTTGTATGATGTAGTGACAGTGTATTTTATTACAAACATCTCAAAATAGTTGACGTTGCTAGAGTTGTCAATGTGTACTTTACGATTGAGTAATCTTCATATTTGATTTCGAGTCTGGCTTTGGTACATTGCGATACATAAAGATAACGGAATCTTATCGATAAGCCCGTTCGACAAAAATCCACTTCTATCGATTTATCATCAGTTTTTTAAGCTTATCTATATTGTGTCTTCTGAGCTGTTACCTTATCTATTAGAAATTTAAAAACATGTGAATGTTGTTCATATTTTTGCAATTGATTCAAGTTTATTCAAGAAGATTGTCATTGACTCCGCAAAAACAGATACTTTGATCATAAGCTAACATATTATACAATCATTGCTAACATATTTTTTTTTATCAAACCCAAAAAACTTAAAACTCAAAGTAATTAAGTATAGGCTGTTACAAGCACTCATGAATGACTTGAAGTTACGCCATCGATAAATCTACGGCGGGAGACCTTGTACTGAGAATAACCGACCAGAAACTCAGCAAAGGCTGTTTTTTTCTTTATTAATTATTATAATTATACGGAGTCGTCAAGTTAAAAAATGACTTCAGACACGATTCTTGAAGTAACCTTTAATTACATAATGTGAAACATACATAAATTTGTAGGAAGGCCAAAGCGGAAGATCATTTTCCATCGAGCTGGGTGATGGTAGCTCGAGGGCCGCAGCCCGACTGATGTTGTTCGGGCATTGTATATATGAACTGTTGGCTACCGAATTTTACTTTCGCGATGTAGGCTTCCTTACGTTGTGAACGCAGCGCCGGTAGTGCCATTTCTTGAGGAGTAGTAAGATTGTTTCCTCTATGTTAGTTAATTGTGGGGCGTGTAGATGTCGCCGCCAAAAATTGTTCACCTGTGTTTTGATTGTTGTGTCTTACAGTATAAATACAAATAGTGTTATTAAATTAGTATTTATTTTATGTTTATAGGCAATGAACATCGCTATAGCTCAACGACACATTTAATATTAATATAATAATAATCGTATGAAGATAATGATTGCAGCTTATAATCTAGTGGGTCATGTTTGTTTGCTATACTTGTGACATAAAAATTAACCAGCTGACTCATTTCCTGATTATAAGAAACATCGAAGATATCACAAATTCACAATGAATAAAGTCACCGTACTCTTAAAATTGACTTTCGATATAAGTAAATAAATATTTCCAGCACTCACACCAATTAGCCTAGCCCCAAAGTTAGCACTATAAGGCTTGTGTTATGGGATACTAGGGTAATGGATAGAATACATAATATACTGCACATATATAAGTATATTTATATAGAAATACATACTAAACATCCAAAACTGGAGTACAAATGCTCGTATTCATCACACAAACATCTGCCCCCATCAGGATTTGATCCCGGGACCTTTTGAGTCTGCGACACCAAAACTACTCGGATACGGAGGTCCTCAAATATAAATCTATCTAACGTACCGTAGACATCCGTCCTATTCTAACTTATATATTTTTTAACGCCGTACAGCAGGACAGGTCACGATGAAGTTGTGATACATTGACTGAAGATTTTAAGAAAACAGTCACAGACTCTTAGCAAGATATAAAAACCGGCCAAGTGCGTGTCACGCAACGCGCAGTATAGGGTTTCGTAGTAGCCTGTAGTTACCGCAATATATTTGAGCAAGAGTTTTTATTTTCTACATCGGAAAATAGAAAACCCGATTAATATCAATCTATGATATTAATATCAATGTACTTAGATTAAAACAAAGAGGGTAGATACGGCATTCGCGGTTCAAAAGTGATCCGCTTATATTGTGGTCCACGACCATAATTCGCTTTAGTCACAATTTGACATTCAAACACGCTGCATGTACACTCAATATAACAATATTGCGTATATTCTGTGTTATGAAGATAAAACAATGCCTTCGATGCTTCTATAAAAAACACAAATAGTTCAAAATCAAATGCCTCGGCAACACTTTTTATTCGTAAAACTGTAAAAACATTTTTTTCTCGAAAATCATGGTTTGTCGTGAATATTATTTACGTAATCGACATTTTGTAAGCAAGAAAAGGACAACAATACGCTGCGTAGAAGCATATAGTTCTGTTTCGCTCGCTCGATTGATGTTTATATACAGACGTGTGCGTGGCGAGAGTTGCTTATGTAGTTGAGTCGGATCATATTTTATTTGATGCTAGTATGAGCGTACCGTCCGTGTACCGTATCTACCCTTTTTGTTTTAATCTAAGTCTATGTATCTTAGTTATAATACCTAAATCAAAGTCAAATTGCGTCTCAAACTCAAAATTAATTATCACTTTAAAGTTCAATATTTTGCAAAGGGGTCCCTTAATCGAAGAATCTTCTCAGAAACCTCTAAATATTTTTAATGGACCTATTCAATGATATCCTACACGATGGGAATGATGATGAAATAAAAACATCCCCAAGTTACATATAAGAGACATACCCTAAACAAAATTTCTACCATTTTGTCAGCAAGATCGATATTCATATCTCCAAATTACAGCTCTCTAGTACTAATAGTCTCGAAGCAAAACCGGGGACGGACAGACGGACATGACGAAATTATAAGGGTCCCTTGTCAGGACTACGGAACCATAAAAAAGATTCGAAGGGACCTGCAGAGGTCCCTAAAATATCTCTTTTAGATTGAATAACGTAAAAAGACAACGTGATCATAATAACGGAATAGATTAAAGATACAAATATAAATACACATTCAATCTTTATTAGGAAAATGATTTTTAAATAGTGTGTCATAATTTTTTTTATAAATCTTCTCGATTTATCAATCTGCCGGACAGTGGAAGACGTAGGTTTGAGTCCCGCCTGTAACCTTGACCAAGTTGAATATTTTCCAGTCTTATTTTATGTGAGACGACAAACTGTATCAAACTAAATTCTTCTAGCCAAGTATCAAAAATACGACCTCCATTTTGTTCATGTCATTTACCACATCTTTACTCATTATTGTTATATTACTAGTATGAACTAGATGGCTAGTAAAACGTGAACAACATTTGGTTAATAAATAAAACTTGTATAGGTGGTAGAAACATTTTCTTACATTTCAATACATCCTCAAATAATTCAATGTAAATAAAGATACTTTTAGTCATAATAATAATAATGCCTTTTTATTTCATGCAGAGAGAGAAAATGAACAAAATAAATTAACTTAACCTATAATTTTTATTTTTGTTGACTATTTGTTTTTAATAAAATTCTATGTATCTGCAAGAACCCCTCCACGGGTGAGATCACCTCTAAAGAAGTCCATTTTTTCCTATCATGGTTTATTTTTAACCACTACACACTTTCAGTCATACTTACCATTATTTACATATTGAATACCTGATTGGGATTAGTTCGAGTTTATGATGATGTCATCTCAAATTGGATGATAGATTAGTATCAACATGCTTCTTTTGAAACAATTCAGGTTTCGATTTTTGCATTAAGTTCCCAAAGACTTTAAGGTATTGGTGTTATTTAGTTTAATGTCGTAGCAACTTCTACCAAAAAATGCTCATAATACAATTCAAGTGTGTCAGAAAACTCATGACCCTTTGGCGTAGTCAGGTAAAATATAAATGCTAATGACCATTAATAGCGATTGGATACGAAGTATAAAAAGAAGCTGTTCTAAAATCTGTCAGAATTTCGTATATTGCGCATTCAACTATAAAGTTTCAATCCATTCTTCAAATTCATTGTACATCAATGTTCCTACAAACCTTTAACCACAGTTTTGTTTTTTGTTCCCCCAGAAATGTATTTTATTCTACTAGCAGCCCTCCTGGGCTCAGCTGCCACATCAGTATTACGGCAAGGCGATACAACTAATGAGGAATACGCCGCCCGCTACAACCTACCCAGGGAGACCACACCAACTTTTTATGACGTCACTCTTTACTTCGACCCAGACAACGAAGCCTACTTCTACGGCAATGTATCCATCAGAATCGTACCTAACAGAGAGACCAGCGAAATCGTCCTCCACGCCACGGATATCACTGTCGACGATATTGAGGTTTTAACAACAGTGAATAATGTTGCTAACACAAATATTTACAACGACCATAGCTTGGCTACGGACGACACTCATTTTCTCAGGATTAACGTAAGCCAGCCTCTCCTGACAGGCCAAGTGTATATCGTTAACATCAACTACATTGGGCAATATGCCACCAACATGTTTGGAGTATATATCTCGACTTACGTTGAAAATGGGATCCCACGGTGAGTACAATTTCTAATATAATGGGTGGGCTTTGAGAAGCTCATTGACTCGGTGGAATTTAATCAATTTATAAGTGGCCGCTTCTGGGTTACATCGGACCAAAAATGTTTGAGAAATTATCTCGAGTTTTTCCGTACTTTAGAAGACACGTTGAGTCATAAGTTCTGACTAAATCTGCCTGCAGTTATTAGCACCTCCTCCTCTATATTGTGCTTGCGCGGTAGATCATGGTACCATTTTCTTATTCCGTGGAGTTAAAGGAATGGCCTGTAGTTTAATCTCAGCCTCTTTATTTATCATCTGATGATAAAAAAGGATGGAAATTTATTAATTGTTTTCCGTAGTTATGATTTTTCTCTAAATCATAACTCTGCCTAAGCCTTGTATTTTTATGATTTATATGTGCAATTATTTATTGTATTTTATTTGAACTTTATTAAAATTCATTGATATATATTTTTTTACTGTATAGAAAATTGGTCACCTCTCAACTTCAACCGACTTTTGCTCGCCGCGCCTTCCCCTGTTATGATGAACCCGCGATCAAAGCAAGATTCAAGACCAGCATTGTCGCACCTGAGAGTTACACTGTGATCAGAACCAACATGCCGGAAATTGGAAATGCGTAAGTCTTATACCTCATTCATTATTTGAAGGCTGTCAGCACAACGCTGTGGACCTATTCCAGGCTTATTGTCATTAAAAAAAGATGGACTTTTACTCAAAAAAAAATCTGGCTCTTTTTTGCATTATAGAACATCAATTACAAATTTGAAAGCAATGTTCAAAGATTTTTCTGTGGGCGAAATGTAAATTGCTATTCCAATGCTATTGTTAAGAATTCCAAAACTGAAACTTGATAACCCTTTTACAATGTGCGTAATTCAGTTTTCAGTATTTGGTTCTATATAAAATTAAATAGCTTAATAAAAAAAATGTATATACCTGACATAGTATTTCACTACAATCTGACATCTTAATTGAAATTCAGAACATGGTGGGAACATTATAAAATCTATTTGAGTAAATAATGTAAAGCTACTGAACTTAACGGTGTTTGAAAGTAACGTCGTAGGTAATGCTGTTCGTAATAATTTAAAACTTTATCATCAACAAAAAAAAACAATGTCTCATCATCTTCATTCATCGATTTTTGCATGCATCAGTCAGTTCTTGTGATAAACAATTTCATACTTAGTAATTCAGTCAATTTATTTCATCCAGCTTGTATGTATGGCTCAATTACATTTGGTCGTTAGCCCGTAGACGGGTGCATGAAAGACGTTACTCGAATTCGGGCACCCGAAGCAATATTTACACTGGCTTACGGGCTGGAAAATGGTGTCAGGTAACCAAAACGAAAACTACCCGAATAGAGGCGTACTCGACTCCTTCATTTACACTTAGCCATTTACCAGAATTCCATTAGCACTCGTATTCGGGCTAGCGACCAAATGTAATCGCGCCATAAGAAAAATATATATGCTGATTTCTTTCTCTTCCAGAACGGAACCAGGTGGTTGGGTGAGACACGAATTCGCTGTCACAGAAGTCATGTCCACTTACCTACTGGCCTACTTGGTGTCCAATTTTGAGCACGTGTCAAACGAAGGAAATCAGATATACCGAGTCCCATTCAAGGTGTTCTCTAGACCGGGGACGACTGACTATGCCGCATTCGCTATGGACTTTGGCCAGCGGAACATGATCGCCTTGGAAAGTTACACGGAATTCGATTATGTCTTCCCGAAACTTGATAAAGCAGCTGTGCCCGACTTCGCTGCCGGCGCTATGGAGAACTGGGGATTGGTGATTTATAGGTATTTTTTACTAAAACATTAACTGCTATATGCAATGAACAAAACATTTAACTGCTATATGGTTAAATGTAAAGAAAATTTTACGCTGCCTTGCAGCTTAAGAAATACAAAACAAGTTCGACGCGGCCATCAAGGTTGCCGTAGCATAATTGGTCAGTGCATCCGCCCGAATCGCGGAAGATAAGGGTTCGAGTTCCTGTCTGCTTCCTGGACCGCATGGCATTAGTTTTTGTAAAATTTTCTTTATATTAAGGATTAAATTTATTCAAAAATATTGAGAAACTTTGTAGAAGTTAGTTTTTCTCAGCGCTCATTTGGACACACACACATATTCGTGTATACAAAAATGGCTACGGTGCGCTACATTACTTCTTTGTAAAGTAACACACATACCTACATACATCCAACATGTACACACATTCTAACATGACGAAGCAGATTTTTTTTCAAATTGATAACAGTAATTTATTATCATTCTCAATTAAACTCAAATTGGTTAATGATAAAGAAACAATGATTGTTATCTTAATTGCTCGTTTCAGTCTATGCCTACTTATAAAATCCGTTTGGGGAACAACTTTCCGCCAAGAAAAGCTAAAAATTGTGTTTCTAAACCCATGTTATAAACACTTAGGATTATGCAACATTTTTTTTACTAAAAACCTCAACCCTGAGGTATACTTTTTGGAAATTTTAATGAACGCGATGATGAACCATTGCTCGTTATGTAGTATTGTGGTAGTGTTACCCTTTTATTGGTAGTCTTAATATTTGTATAGAGGATTTGGTTAGCTCGTAATTTAGGGAAGACGCAATATTTTTATTTTTGTTTTCATTTTAAAGAATTCCATGTTGAATAAACCACAGATATATTAAAAAATTAAAACATTGCAATTTATCGGAAAAATGCGGTTTTAAATTGACAGATTAAATTTTCGCGCGGAAACGGACCTATGGTTCCGATGACGTCACTCCTGTCTGTTACTGGTCGTACTTTTTCGTCGCTGGCATACTATTGCAAATTTTTTCGACTTTCGAGATTTTTTTTGAGTAAAAATTTAAAATAATAGTAATTATTGTTAAAAAAACAAAATTATGTAAAATAAAAACGTTGCAGTGGCCTTTCTTTTATATTTTTTTAACATTTTAATCATAAAATTTTCATAAATATTATATTTGCATCTTCCCTATCATTGTTGTCGTTAAGTAACTTGGTAGTTATTTCTTTACATATAATTTATGTAGCTTCTTCATTCATTCATTTAGTATTTTTTTGTACTTCATTCTTTATAGTTAGCCTCTCTCTAACTTTACATAGTAAGCGTACCTATTGACAGTAACCGAAGGAGGCAAGTGTCGTTAAAATTCTTCTAAGATGTTGCATTTAAATTCACGACACCGTATTTCTGTGATAAAAACTCGCCACAGTTTCATTTCGAGGCAGCGAATGAGGTCACTTTATAACCGAGTAAACAGTTATGGCTGTTATCTAGAACGAAAGAACTTTCATTTTGAACGAGAGGAGTGTTTTAAAACCTAATACCTATATACCAAAAAATTTTGTTCATTTTGAAATACTAACAAGTATGAGGAGAGAAATTAAAAGTGCAAATGTTCATCATCATCATCATCATCCTAGCAGTGGGTTAGCACCCACCAATCCGCACTGGGCCTGCATGGTGGGTCATGGCCCAATCTCCCTATTCCATCCATAGGGAAGGCCTGTGCCCCAGCAGTGGGGACATTAATAAGCTGATGATGATGATGATGAGTTAAATAAGTAAATTTCTATGCTCTGTAGCTATGAGGGGAGCATGGTAGTTCGTAATACAGGTCTTATCTAGCACGGATGCCAGCTTCCCACAATGTTACTCTAAAACGGCGGGAGACCTTATACTGAGAAGAACTGGCAAGAAACTCAGCAAGGGCTTTTTTCCCCTTTGTATTATATACAGAGTCGTCAAATTGAAAAATGACTTCAATATGAGGTAACTCATAAAGTCACTTTCCATTCAACAATATAAAAATTATGACTATATAAAAAACTGGTTTAACAAAGTTTAGGAATGCCGTGTCCTGCTGTTTAGGCAAAAAGAAATGAACGATTAAAGTTTAGTACAACGATTAATAGTATCCAATATCGTAATATTTTATAAACGGTCTCGCCTTCCTCGTAACTGGATCCTCAAACCTTGTACAAGATGTCATTGTAGCTACGATGCTTTATATTTTTAGTACCTCTGTACGGAACAGAAACTTAGACAATGTCGAAAACTTAAACACAAAGACTCGAAATTGTTGAGTTGCCTAAACTAATTAAAAATTCACCAAAATGAAAAAAAAAAAATTTCATAGCCTACACCTTATCATCTAAGTAAAAATGCAAGGTCAAAGACTAATTAGCCGAAAACGGCATTCGTTGATGGAGGCACTTTCCGGAAAGATTATTCACACCATGAAAACAATACTACAGAAAATTATATTCTTTAATAAATTTATCATAAAAGAAATTGGATATTTGGTTATAGTCTTTTGGTAGATGGAGGATCTTGACTTAGAGATAGGCGATCCACATCAAGCAGTTCTGCTTTCTGTGTACCTGCCCAACCTATTTTAACTTGTAATTATTTTTAATTTTTCTTCATAACAGAGAAGCAGCTCTCCTGGTACAAGACGGTGTGACCACTACTAGCACCAGGCAGAACGTGGCCAGGATCATCACCCACGAGAACATGCACATGTGGTTCGGCAACGAGGTCAGCCCCTACTCCTGGACCTACACTTGGCTCAACGAGGGCTTCGCAAACTTCTTCGAGAGTTTCGCCACGGACATGGTAAGCGTTAAGCGAAACCCGATTGGTTGATATTATTTCTGGCACAAACCTACATATTTTACAAAGTCTACATTGTGATGATGCTGAGGTCTGTTTATATACAATTTTAACTCTTTCCCCAATTCCTCTCAAAGATACCAATACCATGCCAATACCAATGCAATGTTGCATAGGATGATTGATATATTAGTGCAAAGTATTAAAGGGAAGCTTGCATGGACTATTCTCGACTATTTGTCTTACACAAAGTATTACTTTTCTTTTAACATAATGTTTATGACTTTTGATAAACAACCCAAAACTGAAAACTTATAAAATTTGACTATGCCTTGATTTCAACCGCATCAGCCTTGTCCTTATTGAAAATAAATCCATATTAGGTTCTATTGACTTACCTGGTGGATGCGCGGCCATTCGGAGACGGGTTCTGCGACCACACCCGCCCTCTCGTCATGCACTAGGGGGACCACGGTCATAGTGCGTGTCGGGTGTATTGTCTGGTTTTTAGTGGCCCTGTTCAGGGCGTAGGTAGGGCCCTGTTCACATCAGCGAGCACCAGGGCTGGCTGAAGAGGACAGGGGGGAATCCCACATACCTTCTTCTCGCTCCCCCAGTGGTTGAAGGATGCGTAAGGCATTTTCCAGACACAAAAAAGGTGCTATTAACTTACACAAATTGAAAAAGCATGAAGATCAAGAGTAAAGGAATGTGTTTAAAGTCTCCTGTTATACAGAGGAAACTTGGACGGCGGACGTTCTATCTGCACTGGAACAATAACTGTGACACATACAGCGTATTTTGCACGAAGTTTACATTTCTTGTTATAATCTTTATTTTTTAAGCATGTAACTACTCGATGTTTAAATCTAAAGAAAATATTACTAGAAAAAATTCCACGCGAACCAGGCAACAGACGGGATTCGAACATAACTAACTTTTGTTTCAAATTGTAAAATTGCTATTCTTCTTTGAAATGTTTAATACTTGTAAAGGTATTCATTTGACATTGTGGTTTACCTTCAATGCAAAGAAATGGCGCTGCCTTGCAGCTTAAGAAAGGCTATAAAGAATCCGACGCGGCCATCAGGGCCGCGGTAGCATAATGGTCAGTGCATTCGCCAGGATAGTGAAGGGTGCGGGTTCGAGTCCCGCCTGCTGGTTGGTCCGCATGGATTTTTTTCTAGTAAGATTTTCTTTAAGATTTACATTGCTTATTCATAAAACTTCTTGTCTTAAGCAAAACTTGACTGAACGGTGTGTACTAATTATATTAAATACAATGAAGGCGCGGTGCGACGCAAAATACGCTGTATGCGGTCGGCATTAGTATTTATTTCACAATCCCATCTGCTATTTGATAGAATGTGTATTATACCTATACCTATATATATAATGTTTTATTTATTTTATAAATTATATTATCTAACTCCCTCTCATCTGCTAATTATTTTCGATGTTATGTTAACAGGTGCTTCCCGAGTGGCGTATGATGGATCAGTTCGTGCTCAATGTACAGAACGTGTTCCAAAACGACGCTGTTCTAAGCATCAACCCAATGACGCATCCAGTGTTCACTCCTTCCCAGGTCTTGGGCACTTTTAACGCCGTTGCTTACCAGAAATGTAAGTTTTTCTTTAAAAGAATTAAGGAATAACTCCTTTTATACTCCTTCCCGATAAATGTTGAGTATGAGCGAAGTTTATTTAGAACTATTTTAATAATGATGCGATGGTAGTTCGATGCGAGGGGATTCGATAAATAGTATGCCAACAATAAGCTTGATATCAGAAACTATATTGATCAACTTTGGCATAGTTTTGTTAACATTTTTCAAGGTAGCCCGTAAAAACCCTCGCTTAGCTAAATGCCTACATTGTAAAGATAATGGAATAATGAAATTGTCAGGAGTATGCTTATCAGCGAGCGTGTATGAGGTGTAATAAGTAAACGTAGAGAGAGAAAGTAATTTCCTAAGATAGAGAAGAGAGAAGAGAAGATATGCTTTCTTCCGCTTTACGGGAAATATTCAAAACAAGTTTCCGCTTGTCATCGCCAGATCTGTGATTATTTATGTAACAAAATGACCCTGTTGCAATGACGCATCCATTCCACATTGTGGATTTCCATAGGCTTATCATTGGTTTCTTGTCTTGTGATAGTGACTCAGAGATTTTATCGACTCAGATCAGATGATTTTTTTAACTGATTAACTCATTTCTTTTTTTTTTTTATAATAAAATTAACTGCTTTGATGCTGTTTTATGTTTTTCGGCGCTTGGGGCATATTTCGAAAAAGTTTTATGACATTTTTTTAACCTGTAGATAGGGATTACTTAGAAAGACTGTCATAGGTGTAAGGTTCGCAAAGTGACCTCACGCAACGCAAGCCATAAATTGAGATAATTCTCCCCGAAATCGGGGCTGCAAATTTTAATGACACACTTTGATCAATAGAAATTATTAAAATTTTCAATAAAACTCAACCCGTGCCGTCCAGTCCATCCATAGAGAAGACCTGTGCCCTTGCACTGGGGACATTAAGCAGGTTGATGATGATGACTTCATTAGAAGTCGGAGATTTATGAAGAGTAGGTTCTTTAATTTCACCTTAAAAAATTGTTAGTTAACTTTTCCTTCTAATGCATTGCATGTTATACTTTTTTTCTTTCAGCTGGTTCCGTGATACGTATGATCCAGCACTTTATGACTCCTGAACTATTCCGCCAAGCGCTTGCTCACTATATTAGAACTATGTAAGTACAATTTTCGATTATTTGACTTATTTATACCAATTGTCACCATCGGTATCAATAGTAATCAATAATTCCACAGATCCCCTAAGCTAAGTGATCCCCTTAAATTATCCCACTACTTTTAAGTAGGTAAGTTATCTACAATTAAAGCAATTCTTTTTAATACCTGTTGTTTTTGTACTTTTAATGTAAAATTTTGTCTTTTGCGCTGTAGTTCACCACTTCGCGATGTAGCAAAAACAATTGAAATATTAATAACGAAGGTAAAAAATATGAAAGAACATCACTCAACATTTCACGATGTTTCTTACATACCACAGTCTCTAAATGCTTTAGAAGACGAAACAAACGAGGCATCCAGTCTTTCTTTCTGTAACAGTGCTTATTTAATATCCATAACACTACCAGGTCCCGACAAGCCGCTCAGCCAGCAGACTTGTACCGGAGCTTGCAAGCGACTCTCGACAACTCCACCCACTCGATTCCGTTCACCATCGAGGCTGTATTGACTCGCTGGACCAACCAGGGCGGTTTCCCAGTTCTCACTGTAACCAGATCTGCACCCACTGCTAACTCGCTTGTGTTCGAACAGGTGGGGTTTTCTTGTAATTCAAATAAGAAAGAAGTCAAATAAGCAAAGTATAACTGTCGATATTCAAGCATATTTAATTTGAACGAATATTTGGAAAGACTTCTAGTATACATAAGGTAAAGACGATGTTATCTACTTGCCACAGGAACGTTTCTTGACCGACCGGTCCTTATCTTCCAATGACCGTTGGCATGTTCCCGTCAACGTGGTGCTGAACACCAACCCTGACTTCTCGGACACCAGACCCGACGGATGGGTAGGGCTTAACTTCCCTGCTACATCGCTTGACGTGCGCGGCTTGGACGGTGCTCAGTGGTACATTGTCAACAAGCAACAGACAGGTAAGGACTACAAATCAACAAACACCAGATCATTACAATGTTTTGTGACATTCCCAGGAAGTCTAGGACCCTCTCTTTAAAATAAAACAGACCTCCAGTAGTGGGTGTAGATTTTCATTACTCAATGTGACCAGATTGGAAGGTGCTCAGGGGTACATTGTCATCATGTAACAGACAGGTAAGGAATACAGACATTTTATTTTCTTCAATTACTTGTTGATTACAATATTTGATGACTTCATATTGAGGAATGCTCTCTCAAAATAAAGGGTAACTTAGTTTATAGTTTATTTTAGCACGCGAACCACTTAAGAAAAAATTCGAAGTTATTTCCCTTCTGATTCCCTGCAACCAATCCATCAACAATTATTTATCCTAATACAGGGGTCAAATCGATTCCCCATGATCTCGGTTGTAGATGGTAATAACTCGGAGCTCAGACGCCAGGAGTCGCTAAGGTTGAGCGTTTGAATTTGATTCTTCAGGTTTCACGTTTTTCTGTTCGTATTGGAGCGTCCTTCTGTGGAAGCTCCATCTTATAGTTATAAGCTTTAGATTGATGTGAGAGTTGTGTTTTGAATGACTTGAACTAGATATACTTTGTTAACTTTGAAGTGCATTATCGGTATCATAAGCTCCATAACAATGATATAATAAAATAATGTTTAACTTTAAAATTGATTTCTTTTTCATCAAAGGTAATTATTTGACTGTTAGAATTTTTATCTTATTTTTCTGCTTAATTTATAGGTTACTACAGAGTGAACTACGACGAAGCAAACTGGAGAGCGCTGACACAAGTAATGACTTCCAATCACAGCGCAATCCACGTGCTGAATCGAGCACAGATCATTGACGATTCCTTTAACTTGGCCAGAAACGGACGCCTGGTAAGAATTAATAATCACATCATTCATGACCACAAAATATTATAGAATTTCTTTAAATCACTCCTTGACAGATTTAAAATTTGGACCGTTACTTCCAATATATTTTTGAATTCAAAATTTGTTGCATTGTTCCTGACTCTGAAATTCGAGGAGAGACCTTAGGTAATAATAGCTGATATTATTATTATTAAAAAAAATATTTATTTGCTTATGAACATGGCATACACAGTGTTACAATAAATAGAGCCTAATGTTTAGGTACAATTTGTTAGCATGCAAAATCATAAAACTTCCACCTATTTTAAAAGTAAATTCATACAATTCTATGTCAGTTTCATTAAAAAAAAACTCTGTTTTAGATTATAAAATGTATATGATAATAAAACACAACCATTTGCGCAGGTGTTTTTGAAGAGTATGATATTCAAAGTTTTCAATATCTATACCTCCAGGCTGCACCTTATGGGTAAATATGGTGCAGCCTGGAGGATGGTACGAAATACTATGGCTCATCATCATCAGCCTATTAATGTCCCCACTACTGGGGCACAGGCCTTCCCTATGGATGGAATAGGGAGACTGGGCCATGACCCACCACGCGGGCCCAATGCGGATTGGTAACGACTGCAAATGATCCCGGGGATCCGAGCCGGGATCAACGGCTTAACGTGCCTTCCGAAGCACGGAGGAGCTCGAGATAGTAAATTTTTGGTCACCCATCCAATGACCGACCACTGCGAAAGTTGCTTAACTTCAACGATCGCAGCCGAACGCGCTAGCCACCTGCGCCATCGAGCTCCTCATCTCATCTATGGCTCATCAACAGACCGTAATGCTTGTTTGCTACCATTATTAGATTAAAGGTGAAATAATTCATCAACAATTATTTACACCACTATTTCGCAATAATGTGTCATTGCTAGGCTGAGACAGTTTGTTGAAGGGATAATCCCACTTGAAATCTTAGTAATTCAACGTTCTTGTCTAATTCGTCAGCACTTTTATTCAATGATAAAAGATGGCGTAAAATGAATCATACACATTTTCTTACAAGATTATAGATACAATACCATTCTAGTCATAAACTTTTGCTGTCAACAATGATAGAGATACTGTAGATTACTAAAATATATATTTAAGTATATCTCTGTATCTTATTGAATACGCAACTTGTTTTGTTAGCTGTCCTTTACTGAAAAACAAACCGCATTATACAAGAGACATAAGTTACATAAGATTTATTTCTTCTTTTTAAGTCAATAATATTTTGAAATCGGGTTATTGTATTATTTTCTCCTTAAAATCTCTGAACTTTAAAGAACTTATGCTGATCACCAACACAGAATGATATGCAAAGAAGAATAAAGATATTCCACTTTTGAAAAATGCACAGGCAAACATGGCATCTACGGATACTAGACTAATACCAGATAGGCAACCTATAAATTAAGCCACGTAGATATCGTAGTACGAGAATTTTGAAATCTAACAATATTTTACAAACTAATGGGTAAACTAAATAACTGCCTATTTTCAATTTGTTTAAAAGGAATTAGGTTATTGAATGGTACATTGCCGATTGTAATTAAACTTGCACTGTAACTGAAACTAGTACCAAGTTGAAATTAAAATAATATATTTTTGTATCCGCGTAATTACAGTCATAAGCTAATGAGACCAAAACGAACGCGACCAATTGTTTCTAAGTCGCCTACTCAGAGGTCCCGGGTTCGAAACCCGATGGGGCAAACGTTTTTATGATGAATACATGCATTTGTGCCTAATTCATGGATAAAACTAGTTTTTACGGGTTAATGCACGAAACTTTATTTATTTATTGACGTTTCGTAGCCTTTACAGGTTACGTCGTCAGAATTAAACTTTTATTTAATTTGTCGAGCTTCCTTCGAAAGATTTTTATTGAGCGTTCGGTTATTTCATTGTTCGATTTTGAAAGTTTTATTGTCTATGTATGAATTTATTATTTAATTTACTTAATAAAGTATTTTTATCTAAAATTCTTTTTTGTAATTTTGAGTTTATTTATTTGACCCTAACTACCGTAAACTACCACCGGTTCCAAAATTGGGAGACCTTTCTGAGAAGAACCGGTGAAACAATTTCGTGCATTAACCCGTTAAAACTAGTTTTATTTAATGAGTGATGTGCGTGAAAACCTAAGAAACAAATACTTCATGGATGTTAATATATATTATCCGTTACCCTACGAGTAGTATCCCATAACACAAGTCTTACATTGCTTTCTTTGAGGCTAGGCTAATTGGTGTGAATATAATAATAATAATAATAATAATAAGTGTTTATTTCAGGCACAGTAACCCATATTAAAAATTACAATAACAATTGCATTTTGTCCAATTTTGTCTTAAAATTAAATCATTGTATCACAATTCGTCAATTATTCGAATTAAATTCAGACAATAACAATAATATTAATAAAATAAATAAAATATAATAAAAAACTATATGACATAGTTTTACATATTAGATTAAATGAAATAAATTAAATTAATTAATTAACATACATTATTAAAAATTTTCATTGTACTTTACAAACATTGGCGATATGTAGATAACAGACAGTGTGTGTGACATTAAATGTACTATAACAATAATTTATTTATTTATTACTATTACCGACTGAACAGTTTAATTTTTTTAACAGTCCTACGTTCATCCTTTGCAAATCGCCACATACCTGAGGAACGAGCTGGACTACATACCATGGGCGGCTGCTAACTCCGCGTTCAATTACCTAGACGTCGTACTTAGTGGCACCAATGTATATAGTCTCTTCCAGGTTTGTATTCCATTACTATTGGCATATCGTCATCATCAGCCTATTAAAGTCCCCACTGCTGGCACAGGCCTTCCCTATGGATGGAATAGGGAGATTTGGCCGTGACCCACCACGCGGGCCCAGTGCCAATCTGCGTGTGCTAATGACTGCAAATGCAGCCGGGATCAACGGCTTAACGTGCCTTCCGAAGCACGGATGAAGCTCGAGATAGAAGATTTTGGTCACCCATCCAATAACCGACCACTGCGAAAGTTGCTTAACTTCAACGATTAAAATCTTAAATCGTTTGGTGTTTTGATAATTGTTTAGCCACCGCTATGAAGGAGGTAGACCTCACAAACTTGTATTACGAGTAAATAGTGGTTCAAACTAAGTAAAAACATAAATCATATAATTTGCTTTCAATTGTACGACCATTAAGCTTTTCGCCATCACATCTGGAACTTCTTTAATAATTTAGATAATATAATGTGCTACCTAGATTTATTGAATATAATACAAAGTATTTGGAAAATAACAACCTTTTTTCATGAAAACGTCATTCTCGATTCTCAAAATTATACTTACTTAATTTATACAACTTTAGTTCCTAAAGAAGTCGAAAGAATAACTAATTTCGAAAATATACCTAATAATACTTATACCTACTAACTTATTTATAAGGACAAATTTTGCCATACATTTTCAAACATCCCTTTGGATTTCTTAGAAGCTATCGAGTTAAAAGAGAGAATGTAAGACGCTGGAGAGTAACAAAATATCTTAAATCGCAGTGACTTCAGCTTCACTAGGGATAGCACAACGGCAAAATTAAAAAAAATAGGTATACTAGAAATTCAATAGAGACTATTGAATCAAAATATGTTTGGGATACACCAAAATATGAAAACCGAGTTCCTGATGTGAAAGGTTTTTTTATATGTGAAACTATTAATATTTTTCTTTCACAGAGATTCCTTTTAGAAATGAGTGCCGCTTCGTATGAGCGGCTCTCATTCGATGTTACCGCTAACGAAGAACACGTCACTGCTTATCATAGAAACATAATTTTGGACATCAACTGCAGAAATGGCAATTCAGCCTGCGTCAATAGATCTATGGAGTTGTTGGCACAGGTTCAAAATGGTACGTCACCTGAATTCATTTATCAATTCGACCGTGTCCAGTACCAATACTAGCTCAGTTTAGTTAAGCAGTAAATAACTCTTGTGAACCACCTAAATTAGGTATTAATTTAAATTTGCAGGCGGAAGTATAGGACCTGATATCCAGACTGTAGTGTACTGCTCCAGTCTCCGTGGTGGAAGTGCTGCGAATTTCGATTTCCTTTGGGAGTTATACCAGGGTACCGACGACTCGAGCGCAAGAACGATGTTGTTGAATGCTCTTGGTTGCACTGCGAATCAGGAGAAGCGTGCATTGTAAGCTTATCACCGATTCAGTTAAAAACTAAACTTTTAAGTTTCGCTCTGATCGAAATCCCGTTTGGGTAGTAACCTCCAGCTCACACACAGAAGATCACAGTAAAAGTCGGAGCAGATATCTCAGACAAGCTCGTGTCTCGAGGCAGGCGATTACGTTATGATTCAGATTAGTGTATGTTTCAGTTGGGAATTTCATATATATAATACTTTTTTTTTATAGCCAGGTAGACAAATGACTCTACCCCACCTGATGTTAAGTGGTGATAAAGTGGAAACGCGAAGATAGCTGGTACAGCAGTTATAAACTGCCACACCAACCAACCTCTACTTGCCGGCCTGCATAAATGCTTCTTCACGCCTCTCTTAAAGAACCCCAGGTTGTAGGAAGGAGGGAACACGTGTGCGGGCAAACAATTCCACTTACGAACGGCGCGAGTTGATACGATGACGACCCCTTTCCGAGATAATGTCTGCTACGACCATAAAATAACACTACCTTTTGGTGGCGCTGTAAGGTTCCACAGAAGGCAGAGGATTGGAATTCTTCACTTACTCTTAACATCAATTGAGGAAAGTGCCGTGTTTAAGAAAAACTTTTTAAACTTGAGATCAGATCAGTTTCAGATTCAGTTGTCCGAAACAGTGACATCTAATATGTAGTAAAGGACAGTAAGGCCCTTATTACTATATCTTGAGAAAAATAGTTTCACGTTCCTGAGATTGAATAAAAAATTAGCTTGGAATTTAAAAAAAGAAACTTATCCAATAAGCTAAATCAGGGAGAGATAATTTTGTACGAAAAATGTCACTAAATCTACATTATATTTTAGCTACTTGCAACAAATCATCGCGACCGACTCACCAGTTAGGGAGCAGGACAGACACACTATCGCCGTATCCGTCATCAATTCCGGATCACAAAATATGGATGTGGCTTTGGATTTCATTGTCGAAAACTTCAATTTGATTCAGTCCAAGTAAGTTATTCTTTTAATTTTTTTTAATATCATCAATGTAGTGAAAAATGAATGATGCTTTTGTTTATTAGGTGATTCTTTTTATTTAAAATAAAATATTTACTTGAAAGCATCAGTTAAATAATTGAACAAAAATATAATAAAATGGATTACTGACATATTTGTTTATTTATTTAGCGTCCAAGGTTTGTCTGGAACTACTAACATCCTGAACGCCTTGGCCCGCAGACTTACAACTACATCACATTCTCAAAAGGTAACTGATTCATATAAACTTTGTATTTGTATGTGACGTTCGGAGCGTTTATATTTTATTACTTTTGACAGATGACTCAATCTGTTTTCCTTTAGCTCTTAGATCAGCAATTGCTATTTAGTCTTCTATTTTACATAAAAAATGTAATTTTCACTCATCATCACCTGAACAAAATGCAGTACTTACCATAATCCTATACTTTCATCGGCTTCTTTTCATAAATCACGATTCATGCCGATTTTTCGAATTGAGCGCTCTGGTTAGATGAAGTAACCTTTCACTTACAGACTCATTATGAAATAAGACACCTTTTTCGTGGTATTGTATTTCTGTCGATGAGTGAGGTTATAGCGCGTCCTCAGGATAGGGGATTAGGTTCACAGCAGGGTGGGATTGGCTGGAGTGACAATGTTTTCTGACATCTCATCTATCAACGCAGCTAGTGTTCAATACCACTTAACGTCAGGTTGCGTTCGGCTACTTTAATTCTCCTGGTATGCCTAAATAAAACGTATAGTTCTGGTTGAGAAAATGGTAATTGATACAAGATGACGTTTCCTCCTCAGGAACTCGATAGCACAGGTGGTAACCGCGTTTGGCCTGCGATCGTGCAACTTAAGCAACTTTCGCAGTAGTTGGTCAAAGGATGGGTAACCAAAAACTTATTATCTGGAGCTCCTCCGAGCTTCGGGAAGCATATTAAGTCGTTGGTCCCGGTTCCATGTGCAGACGTTAACACCCTATCCACACAGAGTATTTCATGACCCAATCTCCCTATTACATGCATATGGATATATGGCAAGTGCCTCAGCAGTAAGGAACATTAATAGGCTGATGATAATGATGACGTTTCCTCCACCAGATTGATGACTTAGTCAGTCGGCATACAGCAGTCTTCACCGCTGGCGAGATTGCTGCGATAGCGGCCATCCGAGAGAATATCGCAGCCTCAATATCCTGGAGTGATCAAAACTTAGAACACGTAGAATCTTGGATCATCAATTACTATACAGACAGCGCGTCTGCAATGACAGCTAGCTTTTTAATACTCCTGTCAATGCTTGTAGCTTTGCTCAACCACTGATCAATAATAAATAATTGTAATAATTAAAAAATGACACATTGAAAAATATTGTAATTTACAAGTTACACATATTAAAAGTTATACAAAATTTACACAGCAGCTCCATAATGCATCCTAATTCAACTCGCTTTGTATTTGTTACAATTTAATAATATAAGTTAAGTTAAGCCACTAATCTAAGAATGATGTATTTTTGTACTTGTATAAGTTCACAACTTTACAATATCAACTATATCAAAAAATCTGGTAGTAGGTAATCTACCAGATTTCTTGTATTTTTTACACGAAACGACATCGCTTCTAGTTTAATGACATTAATGTATACACTAAATTTTAAAATGTAAAATAGGTATAGATCGCGCCAAACTTCTAGTCCGCTCTGAAGTTGTTTCGCGCAGGTGTACAGCCCTAAAAACAACCTTCGTCCCTTTAAATACGAGCTATGACGCGAATTGTGCTGTGTTCAGAGCGGACTAGCAGAATATTTTTATAGAATTTTTAGTGGGAAACCAGTACTATGTTCATTGAGACTAAGTGTTCTCTAGAATAAAATATATTTATACATATTGTTATTAATTTGTTTTAATGTGTCTTATGATAATTTTCGCATACATGAATTTTGATGCTTACATGCTTCGGAAGGTCTCAGCTGGATCTGCAATATACGTTAAGCTCAAATAGTAAGTTAGGGTCTGTTTCACTTATGTTGGTCTTGAGGAAGTTTGAAGGCATGCATAAGCCGATTTATTATTTTTTTTTATGGCAAAGGAAGAAGTTTTTGTATCAAAATCTTTTCTAATTCACATGCCAGACCCACCATATTCCTCACCATACCCCCAGGGGTAGGGTGGGACTGAACCATACCACCGTAGTGATGTGCACTATATGCTTTCAGGTTTAGTTTTTCCGAATATTACGTAGGTACCTAGTGTTGATAGCATCCTTTAAAACAAGTATAAATATGTACTTGAAATTCTTTTTTTAATTGATTGTTCTCAATAATAATCTTATCGTGTATTTATTTCAAGTATCCTTTTGTCCCTTACAATAGGTAAAAAATATGGAAAAATGCTAAATCGCCAAAGTTCCGCATTACGCAAACAAAACCTGAGACAAGAATCGTGGGAATCACGGCCGCCTTACCGCTTTTACCTGCCGATAAAATATTACTAGGACTAGATTATATGAAATCAGAATACGATAGCTTGAAACGGATGCATAAGTTCATAAGCTACATTGAAAGTTTTTGGGTAAAAATACATACTTCCGACGTATTCAGCATTTACGGTAAAAGACATCGAACGACAAATATTTTAGAGTCGTGTCATTCAAAATTGAATAATTTTCATAATAAGAATACAGTAACTTTAATGCGACTGTTAAATGTTGTACACAATATTCATAAAATAAAAGTTACTCCCAAAAAACGTTGAGCGGAACAATTTATTAATGATGATTTTATAACAGAAGTCCAAATGCAGTTAGTGCACACGAAATCACCATTGGGAATGGGTTAGACAAATTAAGAACACAGATTATCATCTTTTAAGTTTTTCTGTTTAAGATAAATAACAAAATAAGTATTTGTTATATATTTAGGTTATGCCAGAACAGATTTCGGTTTTTTTAATAAACTATATATTTGTATCTGTTAGGTATCTATTTTTTTTTCTATTTTTCCATCAAATCCCAGCACTACAACGGTGGTATGATTCAGTCATTCAGTCTGGCATGCTAATTCAGACACTTACAAATGCGATATAATCCTTATTCTTGCAAACTGCTATGTTACATTATTTAGAAATCAAGTTAATATCTACCCGTACGGATTTTCCGATTCTTAGCACAACCCGGAGTACCTTACATAAAATAGCCGAAGCACTCTTTAGGCCAGCAACGAGTGGTCTTTGATCTTTATTTTATTCAACAAACTAGCTGACCCAATAAACTTAACATTTTCAAGATTAGTTAAATTGATGATTTTACAACTGTAAACAAATAAAAAAAAAACAATAGTTTATCAGGATAATAGTTATATTGTCTTTGCTTCTCTTATTCGTCAAGGACATCTCGTCTTGCTTTAGACATTCTTAACTTATTTTGTTTGCTGACGATATGAAGATTCTTTGCCCAGTAGCATCATATCAGAATCAAATGCGCAGCTTCTGCAAAACAAATCTTGGAAACTCACATTTCCTCCAAGTTTACCTAATCAATCTGCGTTTAGCTTTAGAACTATATTATAATACAGCTAAACGTACGAGTAGCTTGTTTAGATGGGTGAGTGATGAGGTATGGGTTTTTTTGACACTTGTACGAGCGTTTTTATCGATGTTATCTACGAGGTTCTTATCGACTTTAATAAAAATAGATACATTTTCACTGATTTCTCAGCACCGCCATCAAACATTATGTAGCACTGGAAGAGATCTGTGGGAACATTTCAATCGTGCAAATGTCTCTCAACCATAAATGACTGAATTGTGAAAGAATAAAAAAAATGGCCGTGTTTAGACTTTTCTGTATTTTGATTGTATTGGTGACTGTTAACTGTTTGCCTATTTTCAAAAATGATGATAAAGTAGAATTACCAGAGATAGATTCCTCTGAGGATGTGCAAGTTGTAAATGTGAGTGCGCGAGATGAACGTCTGTCAAGAAGTTCGTTAAGACCTGGGATGCAAGTTCGTAGCTACGCGATCGAAATTGAGCCTGACATTGACAGTGGAACGTTTACTGGAACAGTGTTAATAAACGCGCTAATAATTGACCAGGCGACAATATCGGACCCTATCCTTTTTCACGTTGAAGACTTGGATGTCAATAGTGTTGAAGTCGCAATAGGCGGATCAACTCAATACAACGACGCAAATTTCGAAGTGGTCGATGGTGAACTGAGGATTACCGACTTGTCCCGGTCAACGTATTGGTTCAGAATAAGTTATGAAGGTAATTTGGATCCGACCGCTGGATTGTTTGTTGGATCATATGACGGTGGGAGGTGAGTTTTTGACGTTTTTTTTCAAACTTTATCACTACTGAAAAAAAATACTAGATAAAATTCCACGCAATCCACGCAGCACACATGATTCGAACCCGCACTCTTCACTATTCGGATGGATGTACCGATCATTATATCCTGGATCGCTTGGATATTTTTTATTAAAATTTTCTTTTAATTTAAGCATCTAGCAAATAAACGCTTAAAATAAAAAAATATATAAAAAAGTATTACTACTGATTTGATCAGGCAAATTACTGTTTAAAATAGAACAAGTCCATTAAAACACTAGGTGATGACTAGCACTGCCTCTGCGCTAAATAATCTATTTCTTATAGGTACCGCCTATTTTATTCAACACTGATTTTTATTTTAGCTCTAAAAGTACTATGTGTTATTCTCCGTGGTTCTTCTAATCTTTATTCCAAAATTTATGATAACTGGTAAGCAGTAAAGCCGGCAAAGTTACATTTTGTTTATAAAATTTGTATCCGGTAAAAGATTATGAAAAGAGTTGTAATGTAATTATATTATTTTGTTTTGTATTTGTATTTGTAAATTTGGCTTCGGCTTAGAACATATTATAGGCTCTACAGTCTTAACTGTAGTCCTATTTGTGTGGGTGTCATCAGCATTATAATACGCCTATTAACCCATATAGACCGATGATTATTTTAGTAAAAAGAAATGCTTTTTGTACAAATACTTGCTAAAGAGAGCCTAAAAACTAATATAAAAATATATTAATAATATATTTTTCTCCGGAATACTCACGTCCTCACACTTCTCTACAATATATTGTTGAATCCTTTGTACCCGCTCTATCTCAAGGAATGCTTCAATTACCTTCATAGCTCAAACACGTTATCTCTTAGGTCTTCAGAAAATTTAACCCTAAAAATTCCCACTCATGACACAACCTTCTAGGGTCATTCTTTTGCCATCCAAACTGTTCGCCTGTGGAATTCTCTTCCTGTATCCATAAGACGAGCACAATCTATTCATATTTTCAAAAATCTTGTTTTCAACCATTATTTGTCGGTGTAACTGCATTTTTTTCTCTGACTGCACTAAACTTCTATATGTGTAGTCTATGTATGTAAGTGTCATATATTTATGTTGTATGTATATGTGTTATAGTAATATTATGTGTATATATTATGTTTGTTTTTTATGTATATATATGTATTTAATACACATAGTTATATACGTTTTGTTATCCCTTGTTTCTTTTATAACATCACCGACTCTAGTTTCTTTCAATCCTCTCCATCCAAAGGTTGTCTGGAAGAAATCGCTTTTAGCGATAAGACCGTCTGTTGAAGCACTATGTGTAAACATAATGTAATTACCCCATTATGTACTATACTGTGGTGTTTTCAATAAAAAAATGTGTATTGTATTGTATAAAAATTAAGAAAAAAATATATAGGGGGGCGTACAATATGCGGTACAGTAGGACTATAAGCATACAAAGCACTTGATATTACGACACAAATATTTACTTATTTCTTGAATGGTAAATAATAAAATATTCTACGTCTACACCAATATTGCACTTGACACACCTAGTTGAACATTTTTGTGACATTGTCCACACCTGGTTCTCTTTTCTTGCTTAGCAACGTAGTGCTCTTTACCGTCATATCTTGAGTCAAAAGTTGTTGAAGATGGTCGACTCTGGCCTGGTTTTTCGCTATGTTTGTTGCCTTAAATCGATTCTCAATCAATTTGACTCTCAAAGCTTAGCGAGTCCATGTGATTGCCATTATGTCTGTAAAGCAACCATGCATTTTTCACAGATATACCAATGCAATGCAGAATTAGAGGCATATAACATTTTTTCCAGCGAATGCTGGTTCGTAGAAGAGATGTTCTGATCTGATAAATATACACCCCCCCCCTTGTTCTCGTTTTTTGGTAAATGAGATGTGGCTGAGACACAGAATCTTTTCTTTTGTTGATCGGGTGCGTTTTCCCTAAACATACTGCTTCTGCTGACATGACAGTAGCCACTGACTAACAGAATTCCAATCAAACCTTTCATTTGTTCCATCTTGACATCAGCAGGAAGAAGATTTTGTTCTAAATACTTATTTGTTTCAGTCGTCAGCAACTCAGATACATCATCAGGAAAGAACAACGAAAACCATTCTATCGGACTTCTTTCTATTGGAACGTGATAAACTGGTAGCCCAGTATGGCTTTAGATTATAAGCCTTTTTTTCTCCAATTACTTACTTACTTACTTTTTTACACGTTTTTCAAGTCTCAAGGATTCTTGAGACTCACATGGTTCGCCCGAGTCTTCTCTAAAAGCAGTGGATTCTGCTGGTGCTTGAAGAAAACTTGAAGGCAAATTGTTTATGTCTACCGACATCTTCTTTACCCCAGTTTTCGTCAGTCTGATCATCGTTGGCGGTGACCAGACTGATGGAGGCAAAAGTTCATCAGGCAGCAGTAAAAAAATGGTCGTAAAAACCGTCACCTTCTTCAAGATTTGCAGCAATATCGTAAAGCGTCAATGACCTAAAACCCTGGAACACGAAAATCTGAAAAAGATATGGCTATCGATTATTTTGCTTATGCATAAACTTGCTGTACCGCATACGGTACACCTAATTACCTACATCTCAAACATCTATTTAAACTCTAAACTTCATAAAAAAACTGCTAAATAATATAGTCAATAATAAATATTGAGGAATTTACTTTTTCGAAGACATAATACATTTATTTCTATTGATTTTTTTGTTATTTATTTGTATTCAGGCATCGTAGGCCTATAGAAATATATACCTTTTAGTCTAACATAGATATGAAATATAAAATACCTATAACTACAAATTCTAAATTTAATCTTTGGTGGTGATATTTATTTATTTATTTTTGAGGACTTCTAGTTGCTTTGAAACACAAGTTTTCGAAAAAAGGAAGACATTGGAGCATAGTGTGATTAAAATTATATTGAATGTATGAAAATCATTTCTCTAGTGATATAAACCACCGAAGAAGCAGTCGAGAACGTTTGTATGGAAAAAACATTGCCCGGCTCCAATCTTAACAAACCTCCTTGAAAACCGTGCCTGGACCGTCTAACTAACTCCAACAATAATAAAAATTAAGAGTATAAATACTAACCTAATTGAAAGCAAAATAATGAAAACCACAGAATTGATTAAAATACAAATAACAAAAGTATTTTTCAAAATGAAATTCATTAAATTACAAATGAAAACAATTACGAATAGTTACATATTGTGTAAAATTTTATATAATACAGGGCGTCCCACGGCTACCTCATACTGAAGGAAAGTATATTAAATATTGAAGATACGGTATTTTACTGAAAGACGACATCATTTTATTTTTAATAAAAACTAGAACTGCATTCACAGATTTTTTTAAAATGCCTGCTAAAACTGGGAATCAAACTCGTGAAATTTCGAAAAAAAACACAAATTATTTTCTTATAACCATGGAACGGGTTAATCATAAGGATTATTTTTTGCTAAATGACATAGCATTTTAAATGAAAGGAATGTCCTCTTACGTGATAAAAATAATAAAATGATATACAAACTGTTGTACGTATGCATTTCTTTTTGAACTCACAGTTAAAATGCGATTGGCTGAAATTTATAAAAATAATAATTCGAAAATGGAACACATAAATTTTCAAGCGTCTATTCTTTTGTTTTTTCGTGAGTTTCATTTTTGTTGATTTGCAATTTGTTTTGTTAATTTACTTACCATGGCGCATCAAAATAAAATGGATTTAATGGAAGCTTACTTTATGATCCACAAAGACATATTAGCTTTGCGGTGGTACCGCGAAAGATATCCTGATAGAGACGTACCTTCTCGATATGTATTTAAAAGGTTAGTGGATACTTCAAAAAATATAGGACGTTTTGATATGCACTTACAGAAACCACAGCAGCGGATGATAAACGTCAACGATGATGAACTTAACACTTTAACTTACTTTGGGCGTATCCGATTTTATATTAGTTTGTGTTAAATAATTTTTAATAAAATGTTAAATTTAATTACTTTTTTTTTCATTTAAAATGCTATATTATTTAGCAAAAAATATTTTTTATGATTAACCCTTTCGATGGTTGTCAAAAAATGTGTCGTGTTTTTTTTCGAAATTTCACGAGTTTGTTTCTCAGTTGTAGCAGGGGATTTTAAAAAAATCTGTGAATGCAGTTCTAGTTATTATTAAAAATAAGGCGATGTCTTCTTTCACTAAAGTAACCTATCTTCAATATTTAATATACTTTCCCTCCGTGTGAGGTAGTCGTGGGACGCCCTGTATATATATAATTATTTACTTAGATCATCAATGTTTGATAAAAATGTATTGTAATACAATATATTATGCATATACAAAACCAACATATATATACAAATAAACATTATTATACATTTAAATAAAATATGTAATTGATAAAAAGGAGAAGCAATACAGTACAGAAACAGTAATTCAAAAGGATGATAATGTTCCTTCAACCGATTTTAAATATAGCAACTGTTGGACTGCCTCTGATTCCTGCTGGCAGCGAGTTCTAAAAGCGCACGGCAAAAGTTTTATGAATAGGACATTTGAGTAAGGATTTGATATGGGGCCTGCAACTCGTGCAAGGGACAAAAAGTGAGTGGGTGAAAGAAAACCGCTCCCAAAGATAGGAAGGATATGAAGGATTGTATACGATACTAAAAAGGAGACAAAGGGTTCTGACATTCCTGCGCAGACGCATGGGAAGGCACATGAGTTCCTTTCAAAAGTTAGAGACGTGATCATACTTACGCAGCCCAAAGATGAATCGTGTGGCAAAATTTTGCAGGCGCTCAAGTTTATTTGGTAATACCTCAGTAGTGTCTTAATAAGAAGCATCGGCATGGTCGAGAAGTGGAAGAATAAGGGATTGTGCAAGGGCAATTTTACTTTGGAAGGGAAGGAAATTTTGCAAACATTTTAATGTATGAAGCAA